TTCACGTGAACCGTACCTACCTTTCTGAAACCGCCACTTCTCTCTCACTGCTTGGCGGGGGAGTTGAACAATCGAGTCTAGTTTCCATTTCTCCCATGCCTGAATGAAATACTGTTTATACATGTTCTGCAATATTAATACAATTAAGGAAACGCGTGGTTTGCGTCTGATTCCGGTCGTCCTCGGTAGGTACGTGCGCCGTGCTGCCGTTTGTGCGTGTTGCGTATGGTGTGCGCCGATCCATCATGTTGACGTGCGTAGCGGAAGTGGGTCGTCCGTCGTGAGTGCGAGCGTGGAGTTCGTACGTGATCCGCGCGTTCGTCCGGTCCGCCAAGTGCGTCTGTCTGTAGCTGTTGCGTGGTTAAACGGTTTCTTTATATTCTATCTAATGACTAATTATTCACCATGTTGGAGTCAAACACAGTACACTCATACATATGCAGTGATCGACTAGGAAAAACAAACAGATCAATGTTTTCAGTTAAGATATTTTGGCGTATCAGTCGTATTTCCTGTCCAGTGATCAGGAAACATAGCGTGATTGTTGGTAGAATCGAAGTTGATACATTTCCCACCGTGGTGTTAATGATCTCTACCACTATCTCCACCGCGGGACAGCAGAAAAATAATCTCCACGTCACGGCGAGTTTTCCATCCCAGTGATCGTTATAGACGAGAGTACGAGTAGATGTCGTGTCCTTGGAAACAATGTTATGCTGAATGTGTATAGGACGAAAACGATGCCAATGGTTGGATTGGGGGTTTGGGTTTAAAAAATGCTAATTTCATAAAAATTAGTAAGCCAGTGATCGTAATTCGTAATCAAAGAGAATGATGTAATTTCAAATAATGAGGAAAGTTGTGCAATAGTTTTTTTTATGCAGTGTGTGTGGTGGTGTGCGTGCGGATGTTGTGGTTGGCTTGCGTTTGACGGCGTGCGTGTGTGTGTGCGCGGATGGTGTGCGTAATGTGAATGATTGTCTGATGTGTCGTGCGCGTCGCGCGCCTGCGCGTTGGCGTATGGGTGTTGGCGGGTGTGTATGCGTGTGCGTGTGTGTGCGATGCGTGTGTGCCTTACGTAGTTGTGCGTAGGTGTGTGTACGTTAGCCAGTCATAGTTTCCTTGAACTTGAACTACCTGCCTCGTCGTCGTTGATAATAAACCCATATGCCGACCTTGCGGAAAATCTCGCGTCATCGACCCACTACAAGGCTCATCATGTTGTTCCAGCGTTGATATAGTGTTTCATCAGCGGGGCAGGATCGCCAAAACTCTCAGCTCAAGATTCCAGTACTAAGACATGGACCGAACTCGAATGAAGGGGATAGTATTATTAAAAATAAAATTATCAAAACAAGGATTCAGAGATGCGAACGTTTCCCTATCTCGTTTGACTATTAATAATCGACCAATGACCGCATATTGGAACGTAAAAAGTTTAGTTTGCTTGTCACTCTGTGAGCGTTATTATATGTCAATAATTAACATACACGACGCACCCCCCAGCCCTCACAACAACACAAACTATACACATGCATACACATCACCATCACACAGCACACTATTCTTACACCTGCACACACAACATCAAGCTTGACATCGTTCTACACGACCACTAACATCAATCAACGACACACTACTCATCGACACAGACGCACAAAGCAGCACATTGACGCCATGTTACAATATAATCGCAAGACGCTAATGCTGCAGTACAACACATTACACGCACAGCACAGTAATAGTTTAACGAACACGAACGTACACGCACCTTAACATGTCTCATCGAAACGCCCACACGCTTCACAACGAGCCACATCAACACACACACACGTGCGAGCACACACACACACACGTGCGAGCACACACACACACGAATAGTCGAAGATGTTTTCATAAGATACGTATTAAAACACCCGAGCGCAGCGATCAAGGTCACATTGCCAAAACATCCCCAGTCGCCATCTAGCTCGCCCGGTGTGTGCTATAGAATCGCAGCTGTTGGAAGAGCTATAGGTTATACCAAGAGTAGATAATAATGTGTTATTATCTACTCTTGGTTATACCTGGTGTAAGGTGTCAAAGTATGTGTCAACAGCATCGGCGGTAAAGTACTGGTCGTATACAGCACGCCTGTGTCTACCGTCCTCTCCGTTGGCAAACTGCATGCATTTGCTGCCAATCAGTGGCTCGAACATTTTGAAGAGAAGTGCTAAAAAAGGCGAGGAAGTGCGTAAATGATGAAAAACGGGGCATGTGACGTGTGTGTATAGTTATTGTCGACATGGTCATCGTTACACAGTTATTGTTGACAATATCATTGTTAACACTGTCATTGTTAAAACAATCATTGTTAACATGGTGATTGTCAACACGGTCACTGTTAACACGGTGATTGTTAACAAGGTCACTGTTAACACGATCATTGTTAACACGATCATTGTTAACACGGTGATTGTTAACACTGTCATTGTTAACACGATGATTGTTAACACAGTGA